GACCACTGAATTGTCTTTCATTTTCAAGTTCTTGGCACGAGTTATGTGGGACGCCTTGTGTAAGGAGAGGTTGGGAGCGCCGGCTACTCCTCTTCTCTTGCACAAAAGTCGACACCGCATATTGTGTAGCAAACACAGGGCTATAGATATGTACATATAGCACAGCACTTACGCAATGAGTCCACGTTTTTCAACACTGAGATGTGTCAACATCACGCAGAAATGTGTTCACGCCACATATAAATGTGTCCGAACCACACACAGTTTGTAAAAACACAAGCATTCGCGCTATATTAGTTGTCCACACAAAAAATGAAAGTTCAATAAAATGTCAAAGGTGACTTCTTACGTACTGAACTGTATTTGGAAAAGGTTTTCACAAAGAGATCCTAGTGAAACACCAAAAGTAATGGTATGAAACATACCAATTACCAATGGATTATATTTTTTCCTTTTTTTTCTTTAATATGTTTGATATATTTCTGACTCCTCCAGAAAATGAACGACTGCACGCGCTGCGGTAGCTTGTAGCTTCCCTTCTTGCCATGAACCCAAGATTTTTATGATTGATGGAGATCGTTTTTCCAAAGAATTTAGTTTTTGTAAACGTTTTTGTTTTCGAGGTCCGTCATAATTTTTACAATGTAAAAGAATCTGCTCAACATCTTCTTGAGCTTCTCCACATGAGCAGGAAGGGGCTGACTGCTTTCCTTATTCTATACAGGAAGGCCTTCGTGTAGGCCGTACGAAGTTGAAGCCTATGAATGACTGTTTATAACGATCAGCTAACCTTTAACGGAATGTTAAATTCTATACCGGAATCAGTGCTATATAACTGGGAGTTTTGCGCACCATTTTCGAACCAGGTTCCCATGGACAATTCACAGCTCAGCTTATTTATTAGACATAGCGCATCGTTCATCAGTAGAGGTAGCAGTGATATACCATTCTCCTGATGTGCTGCAAGGTTCCAGTGGGTACCAAGCCACTGTGAAACCATAGAAGACGAACAGTCTTCTGGACATCTTGGGTTCACGCGTGCTCTCGAGCGTATCCGCCACAAAAAATACTGGCCTAAACTCTCCCGCACTGTCAAGCACTAGGTTAACCCCTGGGCTAAAACCTACTGGGACTACCAGCGGTGCAGCAGTTCACCCATGAAACTTGCTGGCTTTATACTACTGGTTGAATCACCATGAGCACCTTATCAGCAAGATCGCATAAAATTACTTGGTCCATTTTCCAAATGTTCGACTGGTAACCACTCAATACTAGTTGCGAGGGATTGTTTAACGCGTTACCGAAAACACGATAACTTCCAAGAGCCACCGTCAGTGATGTCGCTGACTTCTTAATTCATGCTGTTGTCCTCCGTCATGGTGCATCATCAGTGGTTATTAACGACAAAGGCAAGGCCTGCAGCACCAAACTGCTGGAAGAAGTGCTGATACCTATAGCGGCACCGATCATCGCCGAACAAACTGAACACCATCCGCAAGCCAACGGTCTCAAGGAACGGCTCCACAAAACCATTCCTGACATGCTCTCTATCTATGTAGACGTAAATCACAAGAAGTGTGAGAGTGCTCCACCATTTGTAGTCTTCACATATAACACTGCCGCGCAGGAGACCACAGAATTCATACCTTTACCTTGCTTCACGGCTGCGAGGTTACCACGATGTTAGACGTAGTGCTTCCACCTGCGCGTTTGAGAGCACCACAGAAAATGCTGTTGAGTATGCTCAGTGCGCCGAAGAATTTTTTCAGCTTGCCCGGTTTCGCATCCGCCCTCCGCAACAATACTAGGCTCACCAATACAACCTTCTTCACAGAGAGGTGACGTACGAACCCGGAGAAAAAAGTGTTGATATGGACTCGTGTCCGCCAACTCGGCAGGTCCAAGAAACTTTTACGTCATTACTCCGGGCCTTATGGAGTTCTCGAACGCCTCAACGACGTCAACTACCGAGTTATTCCCGAATCTAGCACACAGTTTTCTTGTGCAGCATACCCGGACGTAGTCCATATATCTAGGATAAAGCAGTATTACTCACGCTGAAGAATTCCCTTCCCCTTACAACTTTGTCATTGTTGAGGTGATGCTTTTTGAGAAGGGGAGCAATGACACGTGCACACAGTGGGTCTTGGTCTGTTGTGCAAGACAGTTTTGCTATCGGTGCGTGGTGGAGGTTTTTTGGTGGCTAGAGGACAAAGATGTTCGCCTCGATTGTGACTGATCTGCTGAAAGCCAGGCGATTAAATGCAAAGCATTTCTTAGCGAATTTTGGTGACTTTGACCGTATCGATTTGTCTATCTAGCCACCTACAACTTCTAGCTCTCCTGGCAATTTCGACAATACGATATATACCCAAATTTGTATGGCATAACACGGCTGTATTACGAGCACAGATAAGTAGTCATAACATAAAAATTATGACAAGTATGTCATGAATGTCATGATTTACATGCCATAGTCTTGCTTCTCTTGTGGTGGTTTCGCTCACATCACATATTGCAAAACTGTGGTATGACATGACTGCATGGCGAACATAACTAACAGGCCCTATCGTGGAAATCATGGCATACGTGTCATATAAGTCTTGACTACACACTACAGTCATAGTGCACTCGCGGTCGTTTCGCTATCTTCCCATATACCAACTTAGGCGTTACGTGACGTAAATGGATGACGAAGGTATATGACTGGTGCGAACATGATAATCATGAAATTAGTGTCATGTAAAACATGAGTACATACCATGCTCTGGATGCACTCGCGGCCGTTTGGCTAGCTTCACATATACCAAATATAGTATTCCGTGACGGGAATGGACGATGAAGGTAAATTACACGTCCAAGCATGATAATAAGTATACGCTTTCCATGTAAAACATGACTACATGCTATGTCCATAGCGCCCTCACCGCAGTTTCGCTAGCTTCACACATTGAAAATTTGATATTATGTGACGTGAATGGACGACGAAGCTAAATGACACGTCCAAACATGATGATCATGATATCCATGTCATGTAAAACATGAATACACGCTGGGCTGAGCGCGCTCGCGGCCGTTTCGCTCGATTCAAATATATACCAAATTCGGTATTACGTGACATGAATGGACAAAGAACGGAAATGCCAGGTGCAATCATGATAATGATCACATGGAAGTCATGTAAGGCATAATTTACATATCTGCCACTGTTGGTGCTGGTATTGGAAACGTTTGTGGTGCAGTCGTCACATCACTATAAACAACATACTTTCATCTTATCTAGATACGCCAACGCACAAGCATTTCTACTTGTGTATACTGTGTACTAAGTCGGTCCGCCTCGTAACGTCGTGCTGATTTGTAAGTGACATATCAACCATCCTCCTTCGTGCTTCGCATATGATAGATTCCCACTGTACGTGAGATCTGCCCATTTTTATTCACTTTCCTTTTATTGCCGTGACAACATCAATAAGACCCAACAAAAATGATGTCAAGAGAATTATAGGACATCTTATTAGAAGTAATTGGGATGTATATTTGAAGAAAGAAACGTGGGCGGTGAGATAACTTGCCGCTAGCAGGAACGGAACTTGCGACCTTTGAATAAAGTGTGCGATGCTTTAACACTCAGCTACGACGACGGTCATCCCTCCGTCCCCCATATTTAGTGTAAATATACAGTTGTGCAGTTAAACGTGGAAGCGTCAGTCATTGCCGCCATTAGCCACTGGGGCGAGTGTGGAACACTCCTCTCTGGCCAGTTGGCACCAAGTAGCACGTGACTTCATTATTGGCTAACTGCAAAGCTCGTAATGAGATCACGTGCTGCGTGACAACAGGCAAAAGATGAGTGTTCCACACTCGCCATAGTAGATACGTCAGCGCTTACTGACGCTCTCACATTTAAAATGCGCATATATGCGCCATGAAGGAGATGGGGGGGGGGGGGGGAGGTAGCCGTCGTGATAGCTCAATTGGAAGAGCATCGGAGGCGTTATTCGAAGGCCGCAGGTTCGGCCATTGCTGGCGGCAAGTTATCTTTTCACCCCCTTTTGTTTCTTCACATTCACAATGCAAATACTTCTAACAACATGCCCTATACTTTCCTTGGCATCATTGTCTGTTAGCTACCATTATTACTGTGTCTCACAAAGTAAAACAAACACTTAAATTTACAATTATTTCCTTCGCACTTTACTATCAGAATCAAGTCTAGCTGGTCTAAGATGTAAAAACTTCGATGATTCTTTGGTTCCATGGTTTCAATTGGGTGTGTTCCTGTACGCGATCAGACTCAACCTTCAATGATTTACTACCGTATACTTCGGAAAATGGTGTGGCCTTCCGCTTGTACAAATTTTTCTTTCGTTTTTTTTTGTCAAACGTGCTTATTTGGCTCCTACTTGGACACTGTTCTGTGTCATCACTTTGCATGTTGTCTGTGTAGCCTGTCACCACGTTATTTTTTCCCTGTTTACGTCTTTCCTATGCATTCCTTTTAATGAGTAGGCCGACGTTGTGCCCCTCTTGGAGACACTTGTCAAAGTCCCCCTTATAATAATAATAATAATAATAATAATAATAATAATAATAATAATAATAATAATAATAATAATAATAATAATAATAATAATAATAATAATAATAATAATAATAATAATAATAATAATAATAATAATAATAATAATAAGTTTATTATATTATTATTATTATTATTATTATTATTATTATTATTATTATTATTATTATTATTTTCATTATTATTATTATTATTATTATTATTATTATTATTATTATTATTATTATTATTATTATTATTATTATTATTATTATTATTATTATTATTATTATTATTATTTGCGTTCAATTTCATTCAAGACTGCGTTAGGGCCTATGTATAAAGGTTCCTTGATTACCGTTATGATTTTTCAAGTTATTCGGTGCCCACACACACCATTAAATTTTTTGTACAAGTAAAAAATGAACATACCATCCACAAGTTTGTCCAGAAATTTTATTTGCCCGCACCTAGAAAGGATAGCAGCAGGAAGATCATGCTTCAATAGACGACAATTATAAGCCCTAGAGTTGGAAGAAGTAACCCGACTGCAAAAGAGGGTTTTAAGGAAAAGAAAAATAACCATTAGGGGAGGAGAAGCATTACGCTGAGAGGAAAGGGAAATTTGAAATTCGTGACCACCTTCGCAAAAAAAACATAATAACCGTAATAGTGAATAAGTAATAATTAAACATGAAGTTCTGAGCCCTAGCTAGTGACCTGGCTCGAAATGAAATATATTTAAAATAGTTTAAAATATATTTCCACTGACAAGCTCTTCATTCCACGAGAAAGTGACTTTTGTCCATCGTACATCCTTCTTTCTTCCTATCAGTGCCCCCTATTCGTTGGTAAGCAACATGTTTAATGCGCTGTATGCACAAGCTTTGAATAGTGGAGTTTTCCGTCGGGGAGAATCGCGAAGAAGGCCACGACCACGTGTATTTCTGCATAGCTTATTACCTGTCAGAAAAAAAAAACGAAGACATTTTGACAAGAAAAAACTAAGCAGAACAGATTCCGGTGCTCCGACAGCCCGCACGAAGTGCCTTGTGTATATAACATCACCCGTCATCTAACGCCCGGTCAAGGAGGCGTTTTTGGTATACCAACAAAATAAAATAATTAACTACAACTATCCAGCTTAGCTCACTCCGCGTAATAGTGGCGGTGGCCGCATCTCAAGGCAGGCAATCCGGAGGAAATCTGGCAAAAACGTTTTTCTCCCGGGTGTGTAAGCTGCGTCCTTTGGAAGAAAATTGATCGGACCTGCTTTGACGTGGAAATGCTAGCTTACGGCCGTAGGAGTTACGTTTTGAGCTATATACAATGACAAACTGCGCGTTTTGGTGCGTTCTTTGGAGGCTTGTGTGGGCTTGATTTCGAAACAAAGTGCCCTGAGGGTCCGTTATAGTTTCAAGGGTCAGTGGACTGAGCGCGCGGCTGGTCCCGTCCCTCGCGTGACGCCTTGCTGAGCCTGCGACCGAACTGTTCCCGCTCTTCAAGCGGTTGAGTCTCAACGGGTGCCCAGGCGTCGAGCAGGAAGTCGTCCAGCTCGTCTTCTTGACGCTCCCGAGACACACTGGGCTCTTCTCGCAGCGGCTCGTACACGGGGACGTTGAAGTCGGGCTCGAAGAGGTCCTCCAGGAACTCACCGTCCGAGTTGTAGTCCGAGTCGTCCAGCTCATTGCCGTGAAGGAAGTAAAAGTCTTTGGACATCTCACACGGTAGTGACTCGTCCGGGTTTGTGCATGTCAGCGTCGCCTGCGGAGATACAACGTCTAAATGTTGGTGCATTAGCAAGGAGGAGGAGGAATACACCATATTGTGCATTAGCAAAATATGGTGTATGTATACGAGGTGATGAGCCACGTAACAGACATTAGATATGCTTTTCTGAACACTGCTGAAGAAAGTAATTTTTTTTCTGACAGTAGCAAAAAAGAAAGGAAGATTCCTCTAGGCGCAGAGCAGCCTAGAGCGCATTACCACAGGCCGACTTATCTGACTTCAACCAATATTTTATCTTAATATCTTCTCTTTCGTTCGAAATCTTGGACTGCGAGCAGAGCTGGCTAGCTCTGGACATGGATATTCGAAGCCTGTGCATAAGAATGCACATTTATTTTATGATGACTTCATGGTTGAAACTCCAGGGATTACGTGATAACAGTTAACGCATAGCTAGCACCCCACTCTAGGAAGCCACTCAGAATAGGGCAGGAAATTCATAGCTGGTATCTACTATAATTCAAGCAACACCATAATAAAACAGGACCTTGCATTAATGGCACTGGATCAACGCCATGTCATTGCCCTTTTATGTTTAGTTCATAGGTACAGCCGCCAGCACGTTCAAGGGCGCGTTCACACTGAGCATTCCGGCCGCCGAAAGTGCCCTTTCCGCGCCGATCACTCTCGAACCAATTTCGCGGCGTCTGCCGCCGAATCGGTCGCCGCGGACCAATAGAAGCACTAGTCAAGGAATTTGAAAAATGGCGGCAAAGCCCTACATATTTGTCATGTTGCAGTGCACGTAACTGAATGTTGTAACCAACGGGAGTTCAACCCTCTGTGTGCCTACTTCACGTCCTTATTTTGTGTAAGAGGTGACCGAGCTTGTCGTTGGCGTGCCAGCTTGTCGCGGTCTTGCGGAGCAAGACAACCCCACCAACGCCGCTGGTGTCGCCAGTTTCTTCTGCCCTTATAATGCATTACAAATTAGTGGCATGCCAGTAAAGTAAGCAGTACTGTTTATTGTTGCTTCCTGCGTACGAGAATCATCGAAGCCTGGACCACCACTAAGTACTACTAGTGGTACTGCCGCAAGTCAAAGGCGTTCTCTCAAGCCCGTCTTCCACATGAAGCACAAAAGTGCCCTCACAGACTTGTGGGACGACGAGCGATGATACAACATGGTAAATGGGTCGACCTCGATCTACGATCTCGCAGCGATAAACGGAAGTGATGATACTAACAACTATTAGTAGCCTTGAAGATTACCAATCAGATTAGTAACGAACAAATTTCACTGTAAGGAATTTATTACACGACATTTATATTGTCACCACTATATTGATAGTTACCTGGTTAAAGACTGTTTTGTTGTGGCACTGGAAGGAGTACCTGTAGAAGAACGTCGACTGAGATCCAGGCACGCGGTGGCAGACGTGGTAGAGTCGGCAGTTGGTATCCGTGTCAGCGAAATAGCCGACAGTGCGACAACGGAACGTGGTGCTTGCGTTGACAAACACAAAGGACGATCCAGAGGGCAACGGTTCTCGTACCTGAGCAGCAAAGCACCGCACAGAGCGTGTTTTGGACGTGCGATAGCAGTTTCGAGAATAACGTAGAGCACGCTATGCTACGGGTTACATCTGTCATTCATTATCAAAATGAAATTTAATAAAGCGTATAGCGAGCACCCCACTGCTGCCGCTTCATTGCATATACTACTGCTGTGTTGCTACAAGTATTATGAACTGAAGTCTTTCAATAAGTCCAACATCATTCATTACGGCAAAATTAAAGATTCGGTTAGTAGTTACCAAACGCAAACGTAGAATTACAAAGTTGGGGCCTATGGAAAAAAATGGAGCCGAGGACGAATGAAAATTACGCAGTGACGAAAACACCAAGTCTGCAGTCGTAAGAAGCAATATGATAATGGAAAACAGAGGTAACTGGAGACCACTTGAAAAGGATGTTGTCCAACAGTAGCCGTGAATGAGGGCACGATGGTCTGAAGCACTAAGATCCTCTAAAATGTTTTATGACTTCTTGGAGTATAATGTAGTCTTAGACATACATCTGCGAAAAAGTTCAACTCACTCCAGCTCACTCAAAAAAAAATACCTTGCGCTTTGGATCCACTCGGACTCAGACTCACCAGTTTTCCTGAGCCAGGCTCACTTGGGCTCATGCTCACAAAAAAAATTCTCTGCAACCGGAATCTCTCGGACTCAAACTCACCAATATACTACTCATTGGGACACACTCAGATTCAAGCTAACAGCATAATCTGAGTCTGAATGAGTTCGAGTGAGTCGACTCATGAGTCCGTTAGTCCCTGATGAGCTTCTTCGACCATAGTGTCAATGTTATTTAAAACCAATATCTCATGTATTCAGTGTCTTTTGATATAGTACCTCCAAATACTAGTTATGGGTGGTTGTAAATCAGTAAGGACATTTTTCCTGAAAGAGATGATGTCATAAATATACTTGTGAAAACTTCCTGGAACAATGTGTGGTTCGAGGGGGGGGGGGGGGGGGTTCAAGGTACTTTTTTATTTAATTCACGCCGTTGATCAATAAACATTGAATTGGTGCATGAACCATAAGGTTTTAGAATACGTGTGAGTTGACATGTGTATAAACGTCAATTCATAGAATGCTCATAGTAATGCTGCGGGTGAGTAGATAGCTCATATACAGCAATAGCCAGAAATGGGGCATTGATATGCTTTATGCGACAGTAATTTTCTGGTACTTCTCCATTCAAGAGAGAGAGATTCTAGAAAGCACACATACGTATAAGCATCCCGTCTCATATTTCTTTTTGCAGCGTTCCTAATGCCGTTTCGAATACCATTTTCGGAAACGAATCTTTGGTCCATGGCTGTGCAAGTCGTTTGCAAAGAAATCCACGGCAACATTGCTAGAATACCAAATGTCGACACACCTTTGAAATGTTCGTACACTTTATATGCACTCCAACGCACCCGGGCAACTAGCACCCTTTCTGACTCCTTGCCCTAGTGCAGAGTTGCCAACTCCACGTGTCTGATCAATCTTCTTGAATCGTGCATTTTCCTTTTTCTTCAGCCTTGACTGGTGATGATAGTTGAGACTCCTGAATGGATACGCTAAAGTGCACAAATTTTAAATGAAGCGTGTACACCTCAAACATGAAGATGTGTGGTATATTTTGAAGTGATTAGTTTGTTCATGAATTAACAGCTTAGTGCTATAGCGAATACACAGAAGTTAAAATGTACTACAGATGCTTTTGTTTATTTATGTTATTTGTGCAAACATTAACGATATAATTCGGGGACACACTGGGTGGTGAAAGGTAGTGATTTATACACTGCAAAACGACTGTGATACCTCCCCAAAATTTCTACCTCGTTCCTGCGGTGATTCTTCCTGTTGTAATTCCTGGTGTCATGAACGCCGTCCAGCGAGCCAAGAGTCCCTGCGTGCGATATGATGACATCGTCATGCGATGACATATATTGTGGGGAAGCATTGACACTTAAAGGGCCCCCAAAACACTTTTTTGAGTAACCATGAAATATTTCACTGGAAAAGCGTATTTCCTCAAAAATTCAACGTCGCAAAAATTTTAAGAATCCGTCCAGTACGAGCAGAGTTACAAAAATTTGTCACATGCTGCATTCGCTTTCTCTCTTCTCTCGTCCCGACGAAAGCGCTGGAGACTAAGCAGGAAGAGATGGGAGGGAAAATAAAATAAAAAAAACGTCATGCGCGACTCGTTCCCTTGAGCACTTTTTTTTTCTTTTTTTTTTCTTCGAATACGTGGCTTTTTCGGTGCGATCGCGCGTGCAACGCATGGACAAGTGATGGCCTCCCGCGGCGATCTCTGCAACGACCGAGTGCACCATGTTCAAATCAGCGAATGATTGATAGATGGGCTTACTACGAGTGGTTTTTGGACTTAATTTGTGGTTTGTCGAGAGAATAAAAAGCTATTTTTAGCTGACTTTGACAATTTATTGTTAATTTCAGTCCGCGTGCTACGCTATAATATTTGGCTCGCGTGTTGTCGAGAGGCTCTTTTACCAATTGGCACCGTTATTGACCATGCTCAAAAAGGTTTGCACAACCCCTTTAAGGTCGCGCAATATTATTAGTTGACATTCAGAAATATTAATCTTCCCTTATTGTGATGAAGTGTTTCAAGGCTTTGGGATTTTCTCGTAGTAGAGCGCTTTGAACTGGTTGGTGACTAAAACTTCATTTATGTGCGATTGCTTCCCAAATAGATGTCGCTGAACATTTTTTTGTCGAATGGTGTGATGGCACGAATAATGATCTCGCGATTTAATTTTGATGATAGTACACAATATCTGCAGCTATATCCCCGGAAACAGTTGTTTTCTTAACACTTTCCGGTAATTTATGATGATTTAAAAAGCTGTTGCCATAGTGGTTCCTCATTAAGCTCAATGGCTAAAAAGAAAATACAAACAAGTCTATCAACGAAGGAAAGATCAACGCCGTCACTCATTAAAAAAGTGCCAAGTCATTGCATATCACACATGCGTGCTCTGAGATATGAGTATTTGAGCGTAGAACATATGGTTTTGAGTGCACGAATAAAGGAGAAAACAAGAAAGTCAGGACGAAAACCTCTCCCCGAACAATGATTGACATAAGTACAGGACATGCAGTGAACACTGGCAAGTTGTGATTAACAGTGCTATCTTGCACTAACTTACTGGACTGTGAGGGAAAGGAACATACAAGATAAAAAAAACATCTTGCTATAATACCCAGCTGGCCTTTTAAAGCACATAAATTCACTTGTGTAATATGAATAGTTGCGTCTACTCCATGAGAAGCATGTGGAGCATGTGAACCGTGTTAATTAAGCATGTCTCATCACATTGAAGACATAGATGAGAAATGGTTGAACGGGGGGTTTCACTGAAACCAACGTTTGGACAAGTGTACTAGTGTTCGTCAAGGCGGCAAGTTATCGATTTCTCGTCGCTTCGAGCCTTCACCCCCCCCCCCCCCCATTGTCTTTATGTTACATCGAATATGATCACATATTCGTTCTTTGATCAACTTTCTTCTTTGCTTCTTCACTGAGTTTTTGAATAATTTTTAGAGTGGTTATTTTCTCTGAAGATTTTATCGAAGATGCGACTGGTAGCAGCTACATTGGAGAACGCAACACTCGTCGTCGAAACGCTAGCTTGTAACAGAATCTGTGTTTTACCACTGGCGCATTGCGTCAAGACTCCATATTCCTGAGCCCATCTTTTGTTGGACCCCTCACGTCATGACTTACATTGCGTTTTATATGCATAGGAAGTAGATGAACGCTAAGCACAAAACATGCACATCTCACGGTGGGGTAAGAAAAAGGTGCGCCAGGTGGTAGTCAGTGTTCTGGCGTATTATCACGGCACAAAATAATACAGGTGAAATTACGTGCTCTTCCATTAAAAGTGGGGTCCTCGGCATAACGAAAGTTGTCTAGTGTTTCACAAAGAAAATAGGTTTCTGATTTTTAGGCTTCTGTCTATCTCATTAACTTCATATAAGTACTGCAGAAGCTGTTGACACTTTCTGCTATTCTTGCAAAGGGCACCTAAATGCGAGTGCTGATTCTCTCCTTAATTAAGTATGTCAAGTATTAACTTATTTTTCTGTGAATTAAGAGTGAGCTTGATCCGCTTTGAAGTTAGCTTGTTTTAAAAGTAAGATATTTTAAAAATCAAAATCTTTGTTTCATGCAAATAGATGCATTCCACAAGTGGGTAAATAGGACAGAATAGCTCATTCTGTCGGCGTGGAACTGCACCTATAATTTGCTTCCATTATCTGGATAATTTGTTAACGATCTCAGCAAAATATACGAAAACCTTCTTCAAGGCCAATTTAAACTTTCTAGAGTGACTCGGACCTTGTCGTTGTTTACTGCACATTATTACGTGTGAATATTCTCTGAGCACGCAAGGGGGTCAGCACTTACACGTGCAGAGAACGTTCACCATTTCCCATACTCAGAATATTAAAGAATATCGCAAGAACTCGAAAACATACAATCCTACACTCATAACACTCTCCAACAAAACTGGCAAACCATTCAGCACGGTCACAGGGTTAGTTAAGTGCACCAGTAGAAAGAGCAGCGGCACGGATGCAAAACAGAGTTTGTCAACAGCCGGGCCGTGGCTTAAATCCATTATTGCAGGAAAACGAAGGTGTCATCCAAAGCAGGCCTACCTAGGAGGACGATGACGAAGGTCCAGAATTTTGTGCCGATCATAGTTCGCGTACTCCGGGGGAAGTATTCGGAGAAGGTGGTGGTGGTACACAAGGCGAGTCGGTGCGGTGTCTTGGCGTGTACTTGAGGGCGCACCCGAAGTAAGTATAGTATGCGTTGCTGTTACAACGGGCTCTCTGGTGCTCCACACTCAGGGGGAAGCGTTCTTATACGGGCGGAAAAAGTGCATAGAAAAGTGCTGCCCTTTCCTCTCTTGCATTGCGTTTGTCTCCTCACTAAGGCAGAAAAAAAAAAAAGCGGGCACTCACTTTTCCTGGGCGGCGCGTCGCTGCTCGAGCACTGGGCCGGCCGGGAGCAGAAAGGAATTTTCGTGTAGCACGTGGGTTTCACAGTCGACCCCAGCTTCCCGGACTGCTGTCGTTCCGCGACACGACATTCAGCACTGTGACAGGATCGCGCGCGCGAAAATGGGCAGAATAAGCGCGCGCGGCGAAACGGCTCTGGCGCGAGTTCCGTCTTAGCGGGATGCGTTTTCGCCATGCTCACGGAGCACGAAAATAAAACCTCCGCCATGGCTTTTTTTTTCTTTTCACGCATTTATTTGTGCTGTCACGTGCTAAATCACGAGAGTCTCGCTGCACCTAATTCATTTTTGCGCTGTCGATTGCACAAGCTTTAGGTCCGACCTTAAATAACGTCCCCAAGAAGAGGGACCATGAGACGGGGTGGAATAAGTGACGTCAAACCGTCAAATAACAGTTTTCTCGGAACCCTTAAGTGACGAAGGTCGCATACTTATTTCCTTCATGAAAGACGCTGTCCCTATGCGCACCAGGAAGAATTTTTTTCGTTCCGGTATTGTTTTCGCATACTTTCAACCAACCAGCACAATTAATAATACTCTCACAAAATTACTATTTGAATTTGCGCCAGCATTTCTATTGAAGTGCGCCAGCATTTCTATTGTTCTGACTGATGAAAAGTCATCAGTCAGAACAACAGAAATGCTGGCGCACTATCGCTTATCAGCACAAAAGTTGACGTCTGGTGCATACGACGTATTAAAGTAATATTTCTTAACAAATGTACAGCGCCCGTTAGAAGTTATGTCCCCGTTTGGAGCCTCGAACAGTATTTCGGTTGCATATCTACAAGTTGCTGTCGTTAAACACCCAGTTATTTTTAACAGTTAAAGAAAAAAATCGAATGATCGCGAAACATTTGTGGACGAAAAAGTCAAAGTTTAGGATTCTAGGAGCCACACAGTCGGAGGAGTGCTCCTTTAGGCAAGAGTAATGCGAACTATACTAGAGAAGAAATTGAAGTATTCGCGCGTTTTATGCAACCTTTGTCATGGAACAAACTCAAGCTTGTAGATTTTAATGCGAGAAATTCATGCTGACCAGACAAGTACTGAGATACTAAATCATATATACACTTTTTTTTCAAAACTCCGTTTCGTAAACTATTACATCGAATTTTGAACCGATGCGAGAGCTGAGTGGAGAGCTCTGCATCGGCGTCACGCGTGTCCGATAAACATTCCGTTCTCGCTGCGCCCAGTGATTCCGACGTTTCCTCTGTGGTGACTATTCTTACGCGCGGATATAGTTTCTTCCGTGCACGCCATTGAGACGTTAGTTGGAAGGCCATTCCGTGCAATGCTTTCGGGTTGTTTGAATAGCTGCTACGCGATTTCCGCAAACTGCACACATTCGGTTTGTTCCGCAGACTTCTATGCCGTGCCCGTTGCCACCTCTATTTATGGTCACGTAGGGGCTTCTCATAAGTTCAGTCTTTATAACGGCTCGCTTTATGTTGTTTGGATCCAATAAGCGATCCAATCTTGCTTCACCCCAAACAAAAATAGATAAAGGTGGTGTCTAGACTGTATAAACCCATTTTTACTAGGGCTATCTACGCCATTTTGTCCTTCGCTGTAGACCACAAGTGAATGTTTTCCCTACTCTTTCCTATAACTCTGCTTTGTAAATACACCAATGATGACTTCTTTACGGTTGTTTCCACAAGGACGTAACTTGCCAGATTGCATAGCTCTTCGCTCTATTGAGACCTGCAGTTAAAAAAGGCATATGAAGTGTGTCTCATTATTGAAGTATTGAGAGTTTGACCAACAATCTCGTGTATTAACAACCCTGGAAAAAAACTTTGAAACTTACTCGATCTTGGAGAGAAGATCGTTCGCTCGCTGTCGGCCGTACAGGCTGACAGCGAGCGTGCATGTGCATGTTATGTAGTGTTTCTGTGAAACGGTACATTTCCCTGATAACCAGCTACCACTCACAGGGTCATCCCAAGGGCGCAAGACTGGGCATATTGCTGACGGGAGCATTCTTTTTTTTAGCCAAAGAATGGGCTTCTATAAATCTCCTTTACCGCCTAAGGAGGACCCCCGTTAAAGGCTTTCTGCATATTGAATGCCAGGAACGCTAGTACATGATTACATTTTAAGTCTAAAGTGCACGGTGAAATTCCCGTACTTTGAGAAAGCCATCATTAAGTTTTTCATAAAATTTTCTTGATTTGTGAACCATTGATTCGCACTGCTTATTTAGGTATGATAACAGGGTTGTTTGATAAATGAACGTTTGCTGTGCCATACAGACATTATCGGTACGTCGCATAGTCTGTCAGTAAATAATACTTAGCTTGGGGGTCAGCTGCGCACTGGAACAAATTTTATGCAACGGGCAGTTTAGAGGTAATAAAATAACAAAGAACTACTTCATATCTACGGAGTGAATGATGATGAGTGGGGCGCAGTGTCCGTCAGCCCGTACGTGCTCCCGTCCGTGCGTACGACCATCCGAGCGTCCATACATGCGTCCGTCCGTCTGTCCAGGTGTCCGTCCATGAGTCCGTCCATCCATCTGTTTGCCTGTCCGTGCGTCTATCAACCTGTACGCCCACGCGTCTATATATCCGTCCTTCCGTCTGCCTGCTAGTCTGTCTGTCCATCCGTCCATGCGTCCATCTAGTGAACATTCCAAGTACCACCATCTCCCATCTCGCATCCACTGTCGCACATACCCGTTCTAGAGCGGGTATGTGCCACCGGTGGCTACGTACTACTACATAAATACATACAAGGAATAGACCGGCCCACGCCTTAAGGAGCTTCGCCCCTAAAATCAGAATTTCGCTGCAATTATTCCAACGAAAAGAAAGACGCTTGGTTATTGTTGTTCCTGAGTGGTACGTAATGATTCCTGGTGCGAGATTATTCGTTAATACAACCGCATATAACAGGCATTTTGCAATAGAGTGGCGAAATAGATAACTTGAATGCGCGAATACATCTTCGTTGGTCGGCACTTTCTCGCACGAGCAGGCACTTCCCTTTCTCCGTATGCATACAGTTGACAAAAAACTTTTTTTGAATCTTTCAGTTTTTAGTTTGTAGAACCATTTCACAACAAGAAATGTGTTGCATTCATTCCGATTTTGCGTTCATTCAAAGTAATTGCTGCACACGAGACTGCTGCCGCTTGTGCGACGTTCCTCCGACTGAGTGAGGATACTCGGTGGCAGTTCTTATCGGTCCAGAGCCTCGTAAAAATTGCGATGATGGTAGCGCCACCTGCAGTCATCCTGGCGAAACTTGTCTCGAAGAATGCGCGGGAAGCTTGTAGTGTCGTAGCGCTTGCTTCAATATTTGCGTAGTCTTGTCTGTTTTGATAGCACTTTGGCTTGGGCGAGTTGGTACATACTCGGATAGGTTTCAGCGTGGTTTAGACGAAGAACAAGGAGAAAGAGAAACACAGAACGCACAGCACTTTTCTGTGTTCTGTGTTGCTGCTTGGTCTTCGTCCAAATCGTGCTGAAGCCTGTCCTGCCTGTTTTATTATGATCTATAGTAGTGTTGTTAGACTAAGAGCATGGCAGGGGATGATAAAGCATGAGCTACCATGATCTACGTTGTATTTAGAGTTTTCCAACTTATAAATTCTCACCAGCTACCACGAAGAAAGAAAGAAAAAGTCGTGATCTTGATCGTGAGTAGTGATGGATCTTGCATACATAAAAGCACCCGTTGAAGCCGAAGCGCCCGTCTTGACATCTTCCACAGAGAAGAACGATAAATGAAATTTTCCGGAGTTTAGGTGGTGTCCATGAACCTAAACGAATGATTGGTCTAACAGGCAGTAACTTCGTGGAAAGGGTGCCTGCCACTCCGCAGTTTTTTTTTTTTTGTAAAATTAAACGAGCGGAAATGGCACATCAAAATACGTGCACATCTACACATTCACGCAATCAAATATGAGTGTGTGAGTGCATGCGTAAGCGAAAGTACAGATTTTGCATTCAATTATTCTTATTTAAAAAACAAAAAAAACTGTCCACTAGCCCAAAAACAAGTTTTTTTTAGGGTTTGCGCTTAATATAGCTTTATTATTTTGTTACCGGTATTCACACCACGCTCCCGAACATTTCCTGATATCCTTTTCTTCCTATGGTTTTCGTGGATATTTATTTTGATAGTAATAGCGAGAAATGTATTCTTCTTCTCAAGCACAAGTTCTTAAAAAAGGACCAAACATTCTACTCTGTGAAGGCTGACGACAGGCGAAGCTTTTTAGCGCATCACCCAGAGAAGACATACCATTTCCAAGCATAGCTTATTGCACACCCTTCAACCAAATCAGAAATGTATTTCCACGAAGTACCTTCTGAGCTTAGCTTGTGCTCCATTATTAGCAGCATGTATTTGTTTTTTTTTGTGTGACGTGCAACATGTCTAATTTGCTGCATGTGCTTCGCGTTTCGTGCACGATCTTATTTGGTGTTTACCTCGCGTGTGTTAGTTTCTTCGATTTTTGTGGCACTTACGTTTAGGCCACCGAGCGTTGGACATGTTCTTGCCGTTTGCAGCTTCTCGGAACGGGTGCTTTTTTTCGGTGTTCGCGCAGATTAGAGTCGGAGCGTGTGGGCTGCCTGACTTCGTGGGAAACACCAGGATGAAGAGCGAAGCGGTTTGGCCAGCAGAAATCTAAATTTATGGATCGTTTTTTTTATCTGTCTAAGTGTTGGGTTCCTGTTTCAGTGAGCTTCAATGTGGTTTTACGAAATATTATTCTTTGATGCCCGGCTGCTATTTTTTTTCTATATTTTGCCAATGAGTCCCTTCTTCATCGATTGTACCT